GTTATTCAAATCTTTATATCATTTTTATCTGTTTAATTTAATGAAAGGTGTTGAAATTGTTGGTGGCTAACTCCGTTTCTGTTTTTGTTTTTCTTAAGGTAAACTCTCATTGTAGAAAGGAAAGGTAGTCTTGCTGGGGATATAATTCTATATCGACAGTTATTTACTTTCAGAGCTTTGAAGATAGCGTTTCACTGTTTTGTCTTCCATTGTTGCTGTTGTAAATTTGCTTTTAGCCTAATTGCAGCAAAATTTGCTTTTAGCCTTTTTTAAAATTGATTTTATTTATTTTTAGAGAGAGGAGAAGGGAGGGAGAAAGAGAGGGAGAGAAACGTCAATGTGTGGTTGCTTCTTGCACACCCACTACTGGGGACTTGGCCTGCAACCCAGGCATGTGCCCTGACTGGGAATCAAACCTGCAACTCTTTTGTTCACAGGCCAGTGCTCAAAAAAAATCCACTGAGCCACACCAGCCAGGGCGCTTTTAGCCTTATTGTCTTTCTTTTGCAAGTTATCTCTCATTTTCTTCAGATGTTTTATTTTGCTTTCGTTATTATACAATTTCCAATGTAAGTTGTGTAATGTGGATTTCTTTTTACTTACCCTGCTTGGTATATATTTGTGCTTCTTCCAATTATGAACCTGTGTTTTTCATCAGTTGTTTGCTTTTTGAATGTTGCTTCATTCCCTTCTCACTTTCTGGGCTCCAATGAAAGGTTTCTAGATTGCATCTGTCTCTTATCCTCTCTTCCATATTTTCCATCTCCTGAACTTTGTGTGCTGCATTCTGGGCGTGTTTTCTTGCCCTCTGACTGGGTCACCAGTCCAGTTCTGTAAGACTCTCCTAAACTATGTATCCCTTATCTTGTTACTGCAACTAGAAGGATCTATATTATTCATTGATAAGTGTTTCATTAATTTAATCATAAATAATGACACAAAATAAAATTCAATTTTAAATTTCAATAATTGTCATTACTCTTATTCATTTCACTATCATTGCTGTTTGCCCAGTAACACTTAAAAAGTAATGTAGAAATAGAGCAACAGGCATCTTCCATTGAGTTTACTGTATTTGTTCACTCTCTACATAATCGTTAGACATTGGGTGTTTACTTTGGGATACCGCTCACCCATTTTTCTCCCTTTTCACAGTGATGAGAGGAGAAGTGAGCAGGGAGATTTCAAATTGACAGAGGAAGAAAAGGGAAAAAGTCCTATTCTGCTAGGCCATACAACTCCATAAGGTTCAAACTGAGTGCATTTAAGGAGGTAAATGATGGTGGTCAGCATTAGAGCCTTTGTCTTAAAGAAACTAATTGTACCTGAAGTGCAAGAGCCTCTTACTCACAATGATCCCTAGCGGTGGCAGGGTCAGTGGGAGGCCCTGAGCAAATGGTTAGATTTTGGAAAATGAACAAGTAGGGTTTATTGGTTTTTCCCAGCACTCACAACCAATGCTCTCTAGTCCCCCAGCATCTTTTCTTCTCTCTCTGCTCCCTTTTCAAACTTTAAAAGATTCCATCAGCAATTTCAGTGAGAAAAACTCATAAAGTTTTAGCGTGGTCATACTGTTTTATTTTTGTTTTTACTTTTTTTACATTGCATTAAGATTTATAACATAAAATTTACTGTTTTAAATGTACAGTTCAGTGGCATTGATTACATTCACATTATTGTTCAACCATCACCACTACCCATGTCCAGAACTTATCATTCCAAACTGAAACTGTACCCGTTAACCAATACTGCCTATTACTCCCTCGCCTCAGCCCCTGGTAACCACCAGTCTACTTTAGGTCTCTACGAATTTGACTAAGTACTTCACGTAAGTGGAATCATACAATATTTGTCCTTCCATATCTAATTTATTTCATTTACCGTAATGTTTTCAAAGTTCATCCATATTGTGGTAACTGAGATTTTAAAGAAGGATTTATTTTGCTACCCCAAGTCCTCTATCCAAAATTGACTTCAAGCAGCTGCTGGTTTTAGGACCACAGGAAGTTATGAATATTTCTCCCTTCAAGTTTCCAAATATAAAGAGTGGCCCAGGGAAAAGCAAGTGGAAACGTCATGTCACTGCCACATACAGCATTCTGCTGTTCTGAATTAATTACAACCATGAAAAATGAAATACCGATTCACTTCCCCCAAAAACATTTTCATATATGCTCCTTGTACCTCCAAAAACCCGAAACTCCTGAGATGGTTTATTTCCCCAGAGACTGCCTAAGAAATTTGAGGAATCTTTCTTTTCTCTCTTGTGGGAGAATTTGTTCATGCTCAGAATAGGGAAAAGGTTAGGAAGAGAGCCAGGAAAAGCAGAAAACATGTAAGCTGTTTCCTCTAACCTAACTGAAGAACCCCAGTTGGAGCAGTAGAACGGCCCAGTGCATCTCTCCTTTATGGAAGGATTCACTGTTTGAGGCCATCGGGTCTTTTTTTCCCCTTGTGTGTGAAGTTCCCCTTCAACTACATGGGCTGCCTCAAGGGTATCTCCACAGAGCAGAAATCCTCTCAGAAGCCTAAATATATGTAGGATAAGAAGAGCCATAGGAATAAAGACTTAAGAACAAAACGGGAATAAAAGGAAATAGGAGCTGGTTCACTATTAGGACTTCAATGTTCAGAATATTTAAAATGTTTGTTTAAGGCTAGTCTGGGGTAGGCAAAACGGATGATAGCCTCATAACTTGTTTAAGAAACAAATTAAAAAATATAAAAACAACATGAAATTTATAAAGTCAATAAAAATATATATATATTTTTTAAAGTATATATTTTTTAACTTCAAAGTGAAATGGTTTGAGACTTTTGAGGTACATACAAAGAAACTATGTGGGGCGGTAGGCAGAGACCGTTCGATGGTGCTCACCAGCTCAGCTTCTCAGTTGGCATATCTTACAGTTGACCATTGCCAGCAACCAGGATGATTTTTAACCATTTGACACTTTTTTATTACTTTTATTCTTCTCCATATATTGTTTAATTTATACATTTTATATCTGTTGCCTTAAAGACAAGAAGCAAAAAGAATATTTAAAGACAAGCTCATGAGAAGGTTTAAAATGACAATAATTCTAAAAATTTACCTCAAGATACTCCTCCCCAGATTCTTAAGTTACATTTGTCTGATCAAAATTCTTGGATCACATATCAAGATGTCTCCTGTACATGAAAATCAGTAAAAAGTAAATATGGTGGCAATTATATACAAATTGGCTTTTTAAAAATTGGGGATAAAAACAACCTGTTGTTAGAGCAGGGGAAATCTGCCTGCAAAACTCAGACTGAATATATATATATATATATATATATATATATATATATATATATATGAATAAGCCAGTTGATTATTTTAAATGCAAACCAAATATTACCTTATGAAAACAGCTTTTGTCTCTTTAGATAGAATAAAATACAGTTTAATTTCCATTTTATATATATATATATATATATATTCTGTCCCCGAACCAGACACAAGATAAAAATTATTCTTGAACTTTTTTATCAAGATATCTGCTTTCTCCTACACAATTGATTTAAAGTAAATTAAATAGCATGTGTTTAAAGTCAGATGGAAAAAGTAAAAATTTATCATCTGGGTTAAATACATATGTATAATATTAAAAGACCATATTTAATATGAATTTTTAATAATGTGATGATTTATAATAAAATTTTCTGCTTATATATCCTTCTTTATCATGCCACACAAAAATGTCAACATGGTTAAAAGAGTCTGCAAATTTATGTGTTAGTGAAAGAAATTTGGAGTCAAAGTTTTGGACCATGGGGATAATCTCTGTAATCTGTCACCTGAACCATTTTTATCACTCAAAAGACTTACAAGAATAAAAATGCGCATTATTACCAAAATAAATCTTACTTCTTTTGATCTCTCAAGAATTACCCTCTTATTGGACTACATAGGAAAGGAAACATATGTCACACTACTTTATATATTTTAAGATGCCCCTTCTCGTTGCATCTTAAATCAGGATGCAATTTACAACCAGTAGCGTCTTACAATACCTATCGACCAAGCTGCACTTTAGACTGTGGTTAACGTTGCCAGTGTGTGAACATCAAACGTGCCAGCATCAAAACTTGCAGAATGTCTCAGTGACTTGGAAGAGTCTTGCAAACAGAACAGCTTTTTTTTTTCTTTTTCTTCTTCTTTTTTTTAAATCCTAGGAACCAAACAATTATGGAAAGGGGGTAAATCAGACATGTTTAGCAACATTCTTTAAACAGGAGTCAAAAGTAGGCTAACTCTGGGTAATTGCAAGGTCAGCTTAGGAGCCCAACACCCATGGCTCTTCGGTCTTTAATGGATTATTTTAAGACATGCTGTGTCATCAAACTCCTGATATAGAGGGTGATATCGTGGATAAACACAGACATCAAAGAGTCTGAGTCAAATGCTGAACATGAAAAAGTTTCAGGAGCACCTAAGCCAATTTCTTTCATTTACTGTTCCGGTTTTTGCACATACAAGTATGACAAATGATAAAATAATCTGTCTAATTAAATGTATAGCAGCCCTTTCAATAAGAATAAAGAAACATTCTGAGCATGTCATAGTTTTACCTGCAGGTTTTTTTGTTTCTGAATAGTACATACAATAATGGTGCCTCTTACAATGATGGCATCTTAAGATACAGTGAAAGAGAGTATTCAGTTTGTAGGTTTAATACTTTCCCCTCCTCCCATAAAGTGGATAGTTAATGAGCTTGAATGAGCTAAAATGTTTGCTATCTATACTGTATTCTTAAATGCTGGTTGCATTCCATTTTAACAAAAAGCTGCAGGCTGTTTTTATTTTTGGTTAACAAAAGGATTTTTTTTTTTTTTTTTGCCTGAGACTTTTTATAGCATGTGGCCTCTATTTAACTGTCCCCAAAATATTTCTTGGGAGGAGAAATGCTAGTAATTCAGTTTTCCAGGTATGGTTTCTTTGAAAGTGTCAGGTTGACTCTTATTTCTTTTGCTAGGGGTGCAGGCTGCATCTTTATTGAAATGTTCCAGGGTCAACCTTTGTTTCCTGGCGTTTCCAATGTCTTTGAACAGCTGGAGAAGATCTGGGAGGTAAGAGAAGAATTCCTCTTAAGAAGACGAAATACCTGCATTTCAAACTTTAAATCAAATTTGCCTTTGAGACAAATGATGCTGTCCATCTGCTTTGAGATATTAAGCTCTGTGTTAAGGTTGTGGAGACTGCAGTATTTGCCACAGGTAGAATAAGCACCTTGGGAACGAGTGGTCAGGAAACCCCCTGTTGTCCTGTAGCATTCCATGAATCCACCTGCTCCCTATTATTATTGTCTCAGTCTCCTGGGCAATTTCTGCCATTACTTCTTAAACACATTTCTGTCTTGCCACCCCCACTCTAATTCTACTATATGTTCGGCCCTGGATCTTTGTCAACTGAAGACAAGGAAGTAAATAGTCATAGAACTCCAATAAAAACAAAGACTTTGCCATGTGAGTGTGAGAGAAATACAGTATTTATTATGCTCCTCTAACACCAAATTCCTAAGATGTCAGGGTGCTTTTGTGTGTGGTTCCAGTTTTTTTTTTTAATTTTATTTTTCACCTACAGTTCACATTCCATGCTATTTTGTATTAGTTTCAGGTGTATAGCGTAATGGTTAGACAATCACTTAAAGATTTTATTTATTTATTTTTAGAGAGGAGGGAAGGGAGGGAGAAAAAGAGGGAGAAAAACATCGATGTATTTTTGATTGGTTGCCTCACACATGCCCTCAACTGGGGACCTGGCCGGCAACCCAGGCATGTGCCCTGACTGGGAATTGAACCAGCAAGCTCTTGGTTCATAGGCAGGCACACAATTCACTGAGCCACACCAGCCAGGGTGACAATCATATACTTTACAAAGTGTTCCCCTGATATTTCCAGCATCCACCTGGCACCATATATAGTTATTATAATATTATTGACTATATTCCGTATGCAGTAGTTGACATCCTCATGACTATTTTGTAACTATCAGTTTGTACTTAATTCTTTTATTTTTTTCACCCACTTCTTCCATCCTCTCTGCTCTGGCAACTATCAGTCTGTTTCAATTTTATTTGCTTGTTTATTTTGTTCTTTAGACTCCACATATAAGTGAAATAATATAGTATTTGTCTTTCTCTGACTAATGTATGTCACTTAGCATAATATCCTCTAGGTCCATCCATGCTGTCACAAATGGTGGGATCTTTATTCTTCTTTATGGCTGAGTGATATTCCATTGCATATCTGTACCACCACTTTTTATTCATTCATCTGTTGATGGGCATTTGGGCTGCTTCCATATCATGGCTATTGTAAATAACACTGCAATGAACATAAGGGTGCATATGTTCTCTTAAGTGCGTGTTTTGGGTTTCTTTGGATATATACCTAGAAATGGAATCACTGGGTCATAGGGCAGTTTCATTTTTTAGTTTTTTGTGGAACCTCCATACTGTTTTCCACAGCAGCTTTACCAGTCTGTATTCCCACAAACCTTGCACAAGATTTCCTTTTCCCTCATTCCTTCCAGTGCTCATTGGTTGATTTATTGATGATAGCTATTCTGACAGGTATGAGGGAATATCTCATTGTGGTTTTAATTTGCATTTTTCTAATGATTGGTGATGTTGAGCATCTTTTCATATGTTTATTGGCCACCTATGTGTCCTCTTTGGAGAAGTATCTATTCAGGTCCTTTGCCTATTTTTAAATTGGATAGATTAGTTTTTTGAGTTGTATGAGCTCTTTATAAATTTTGGATATTAACCCCTTACTGACGTATCATTGGAGAATATTTTCTCCTGTTTAGTAGGTTGTCTTCTCATTTTGATGACGGTTTCCTTTGCTGTGCAAAAAGTTGTTAGTTTGATGTAGTCCCATTTGTTTATTTTTTCTTTCATTTCCCTTGGTTCCATTTCTTTATTCATTGTTTACCCCTACCTCATTTACACCATGACATTTTTCATTTCCTTTGTAGCTTATATGCCATGTTAATCATCTATATAGTTCTCTTTTTTGGCAATTTTTTAAAATTATAAAATATACATAAAATTGCCTTTCTAGCCACTTTTAGTGTACAGGTCATAGGCATTAAATACTTTCACATTGTTGTATAACCATCACCACAATTCATTTCCAAAACTTTCTCACCGTCCCAAACAGAAACTTTATACCCATTAAACAATAACTCCCCTGCCTCTGGTAACCTCTTATCTTCTTTTTATCACTATGAATATGCCTATTCTAAGTAGCTCATATCAGTGGAATCATTTAGTATTTGTCCTGTGTCTGCCTTATTTCACTTAGCATAGTATTTTCAAGGTTCATCCATTTTGTAGCATTGTCAAAGTGCTTTAAACTCAGTTTGTTTGGTTTTTTATCACTTGTCATCTTGCTCCCTTTGAAGTTTGCTACTTCAAGCAGACATCTGGAGCATTCTTTCTATCGGTCCCCAGTGCAGGTATCTTGGAAAATACTGCTGCACTGGGTTTTTTGTGTGCAGGTGAGGAAACTTGTCTTCTCTTTACAATTTTGATTTAGTAGTCTCAGTGTTTGCCTATCCAGAAATGATATGAAATTTTTATTTTCAAATTGCATTCCCACTATGGAGTTCTTAATTAATTTATTTTTTAAAATAGAATTTATCTTTTTTTAATATATTTTATTGATTATGCTATTACAGTTGTCCCAATTTATCTCCCTTGTTCCCCTCCACCCAGTACCCCCATTTATACACACATAAAGGTGAGAAAAACTCCTTAGAGAACATTGGGAAATGGGGAAAAAAGTTAGTTGCCAGTGTATGGAAGGTCATTGGTTTACCTCTATGAAGAAATTCTATGCAAATCAGTCTAGTGCTATCAATTCAAAACCCAGAAGACATTGTCTTCTGGCTAAAATAAAATGTGTTTTGAGAAATTAAGACATTTTATAGAGATTAATTACTGCTATTAAAAATTTCTCTTGGAAACATGTGGGTTATTACAGGGCACCATAGGAAAAATTGGGAAGCATTCACAAACTAAGAAAACATTTTTCAAACCAAAATATTTTTTTCTCTACTCATCTGCAAAACAGAAAAATGCTGTTTATCTTCAACCAGCATCATTGGTTGCCACAACATCATCTGAACTGGAGACAGCTTCATGTAATAATAGCTTTAAAGTCATAAGAACTGGGTTTGAATTCTAGCCTCTTTATAGCTAAACAAACGTGGGCAAGTTATATAGTATGTCTGAGCTTCAGTTTTCTTATTTGTTAAATGGAGCTAGTGATAATGACTTTCTAACTTTGCTGTCAAAATTCCATAAGATCAAATGCATAACAAGTTCCATGTGCCAAAAGGGCTCAATAAGTATCTGCTGCCTTTCTCTCTCATATAAATTATTATTGTAGAGATGTTTCAATAACCTAAGTGCTAAAAACCATTTTCTGATATGTCACCTAATTGTTCTTCCAAGTTGTATTACTTCTTGTCCACAACAGAGGAAGCGCAATTAGCATGGCCTAAACCTGACCCTGCAATGACCTTTACACATTTGAAGAGTATTTCCTAGTCATTTAATCAGGAAAAAAATACTTTTTGGTCACTCACCATGTAAAATACTCTATGATGTCTTGTAAGAAGTTACAAAGCATGGAAAAAAGGGAAGAATAAGGCCTTCTGTTGAAGATGGAGGTATAGATAAACACGCTTTGCCTCCTTGCATGACTACAGAAAAAAATTACAAGTAGAGCACAAAAAACATATCACTCAGAACTGTCAGAAAATCAAGCTGTATGGAAGTCCAACAACCAAGGATTTAAAGAAGCCACATTCATCCAGATGGGTAGAAGGGGTGGAGACACAGAGACAGGCAGAGAGGTGTGGAGACTCAGCATGGCACAGAGAGAAGGCAAAAAGGTGGTCTCACATTCATTTGTGGTGGATAAATATTGGGAGGGATACTTCGAGAGTGAGTGATCCCAGCATCAGGCCAGACCACACAGCCCAGTGGTCCAGAGTCAGGAAGATCAATCCCTATAAATTCTGGCTGTAAAAACCAGTGGGGGTTGGGGCACGGGAAGAAACTGCTGGATTTTCAGGAGACTCCTCCTAAAGGGCCTAAAGGGACTTAGGACTTACGCAGACTACCCCCTCTTGGATTCAGCACCAGGAAAATAGCTGGAAGAGTACCAGTCACATACAGAGAGAAAGTGAAGTGACAGGAAACAGTCTGAGTGCCAGGAGACAACCTCCTCCCAGACAAATCTCAAGCAGTGATATTGTCTGCTCTCCCAGCCCTCCACCCACACAGAGCCACAAAGTGTTGAAGCAGGTTGCCCCATGCTAGTGATTACCTAAGGTTCTGTCCCATACAACTTACATGTGGCTTTTCTATAATAGCCCACATTACTAAGATAAAGAGTCAAAGCCGCTCTACCAAATATACAGAAACAAAGGCCAGGAGGCTGCCAAATTGAGGAGGCAAAGAAATATGGCCCAAATGAAAGAACAGAACAAAACTTCTGAAAAAAAAAAAAACTCTAAATGAAACAGAGATTACCAATCTATCAGGTGCAGAGTTCAAAACACGGATTATCAAAATACTTAAAGAACTCATCGAGTACAGCAATAGCATAAAAAAGACCCAGGAGGAAATAAAGCTTACATTAAGTGAAATAAAGAAAAGTCTACAAGGAACCACTAGTGGAGAAGATGAAGCTGAGAATCAGTTCAACGATTTGGAACATAAGGAAGAAAAACGCATTCAATCAGAACAGCAAGGGTAAAAAGAATTTTAAAAATGAAGATAGTTTAAGAACCTCTGGGACATCTCCAAACATACCAAAATCTGAATCATAAGGATGCCAGAAGGAGAAAAGAAAGAGCATGAAATTGAGAGCTTATTTGAAAAAATAATGAAAGAAAATCCCCCTAATTTGCTGAAGGAAGTAGACAGAGAAGCCCAGGAAGCACAGAGACTCCCAAACAAGCTGGACCCAAAGAGGACCACACCAAGACACATCATAATTAAAATGCCAAAGGTTAAAGATAAAGATAAAAAAAGAATCTTAAAAGCATCAAGAGGCAAGCAGTTTGTTACCTACAAGGGAGTTCCCATAAGATTGTCAGCTGATTTCTCAAAAGAAACTTTGCAGGCTAGAATGCACTGGCAAGAAGTATTCAAAGTGATGAAAATCAGGGACCTACAACCTAGATTACTCTATCCAGCAAAGCTATCATTTAGAATGGAAGGGCAGATAAAATGCTTCCCAGACAAGATAAAGCTAAAGGAGTTCATCATCACCAAGCCATTATTATATGAAATGTTAAATAGACTTATTTAAGAAAAAGAAGATCAAAACTATGAACAATTAAATGGCAACAAATTCACAGCTATCTACTGGATCTAAAAAACAAACTAAGCAAACAACCAGAACAGGAACAGAGTCATAGATATGGAGATCATTTGGAGGCTTATCAGTTGGGAGGGGGAAGGGGGAAAATGGGGAAAAAGGTGCTGGGATAAGAAGCATAAGTGGATAGGTACAAAATAGGCAGGGGCATGTTAAGAATAGTATAGGAAATGGAGAAGCCAAAGAAGTTATATGCATGACCCAGGGATGTGAACTAAGAAAGGGCGATTGCTGGAGGGAATGGTGGTACTGGGTGGAGAGGGACAAAGGGTTAAAAACTGGGACATCTGTAATAGCATAATCAACAAAGCATTTCTTTTTTTAAAACGGGAAGGATAAGAAAAATGAATCATCTGTACTTTCAAGTGTTGTTCTATCTAGGTGGAGTGAAGAATGAAGTAAATATATGTGAAACAAACACTAATTGTATGTATATGTGAAAGGATGTATATGTAGATATTAGTATAAATTATAATATTGAAATAAGTTATATTATTAGGACATTTGAAAGCTGTGTATAAACTGATTTTTTATATTACATACTATCTTTAAATAATCATGTTTTTAGAAGCATTTAGTACAGCACTTTGAAACCATAGAACAGAAAGAATGGGCTAGACATTTCCCAGAACCTGGTGCCTCTCTAGTTATTGGTTCAAATTTCCAGGACTGGCCTTGCTGACTGACACTGGCCATCTGAAGATGTTTTAGATAATTCATTAAGTGAAAGAATTTGAACTTGAATCAGAACATATAGTACCAAAACATGAGCAATGCAGCAAAAACAAACATGTCTTAACAAATTAGCCTAATAGTTCCTGACCAGAGAGCCATGTTCATTTCTACGTTGTCTTTATCACACTGCAATCAATCAAAGGGACTTTATTTTGACACTTATGACAATTCATTACAAATTTAAAGCAAGTAAACATATTAGAAATAACACTGGCCTGCAGTCAGAAGACATGAATTCTAACTCTAATTTCAAGTTATGAGGGAAGAACAATTCACATAACCAACCTCCATGGGCTTCCAGTGTCTTAAATGTTACAGATGCTCCTCAACTTTTGACAGGTTACATCCTGAGAAACCCATTGTAAACTGAAAATATCATAAGTCAAACCATAGGAAGTCAGGGACTACCTGTATTTGGTTTTCTGACTCCATGAAGTTGTGACTTCTTTGAACAAAATGTAAAGAAAATACTGTAGCTCCCATCATTTAAAATCATAATATTCTTCTCTGTTTCTGTGATTCCCCTTCTCCCCTAGGTAGCTTTTTTTCTCAAGTCTGTCAACTTGCATAGCTCATTGTTGATTTTTGATCTGTACTGATCAAGGATATAGTTCCATATTGCTTAGCCATACTTTATGGTCACCAGGAGGTCAGATTAATTACATCTCATTTCTTCCTTGGTCCTATCAAAGGAGGACCACGGTTTTGTTACCATAACTGTAGTTCCACACTCTAAGGACAAAGTGGAAAGTCACCACACTCAGCAGCAGCTTGTCTTTAATACTACTACATCTCAAGCAGGTTAGAAATTTAAATATTACAAATAGTTCCTGATTTTGTGTTTTACTAACCATGGTCTACACACATAAAAATAGGAGATCTATTTCTAGTCTATGATATTGGGTGTAGGAATGGCTTCTTTGAAAGCAACATGTCCATTCTAAATCTCCCCACCTCTAAACACAACTTTCCTCTACATTTATCCTGAGATCTCACTCTTAAGAATACACACATAACGAGAAGTCCTGAATTTTTATTTTACCTTCTTTCTGAAATGTGTGTGTGTGTGTGTGTGCGCGCGCACACACACATTCACATATGAATAGCTGTCACTGCTTTCTGAAATCTAATTCTTTCAATACGTGTTTTTTAGAAAATAATCCAAGCTGTGGTTCTAAAATCAGAATAAAACAAACTATGCAGACCTTGAATCCATTAATCAAAATGCCTTCAGTTTCCATTCCAACAAAGGCAGAAAACAGCTTCTGCAGCCCACTGTGTTTTCAGATAGAGCACTCACTAGCTGCCTTTTTAAGAGCCTTTAGGGAGGGCATAAATCAACAATTTTTGGTTTTCAGTTTCCCAGACAGTGAGGTAGAGATTTAGTAATTTTGTAAAGGGAAAATGAATTCAATAACTTTCAAATAGAAACTCAGCATCAAATTTCCAAATAAAGGATATTGAATTTTGTTTGAACTTTTAAAATCTCAAACTTAAAAGCTTTTAGCATAATATTTAAAACTCTTTGGTATCCATTTTGTTGATTTAATTAAACATAAGCAAAATAACCAACAACTTCTGGTAACTTGTACCTTAGGAAAATATGGATGTGGTCATTATTTATTTCTCCTATTGCTTTCTTCTCTTTGTCATCTTTGTTTTCTTTGCATTGTACTTTGTAAGTCCACAGGAGATGTATGGTTACATGTAAGTCACACCCACTTGTTTACATGCACATCTGTGCAAATCCATTAGATGGTAGGTTAAAAAAGGGGAATTAGCTACCCGTCTTCTGGCCCTCTTCTACAAAAGAAGAATTAGTCTAGTTGGTTTTTCAAAATGGATTCTAGGATTCTTAGTGTTCCTCAGTGTGGTTGACAGGAAAAGATCTATAATCCTCTCAGTAGCTTTTCAGTTTGTTTAGGGAATGGATCAAAGAAAGATTTTACTGTGTGGCATGATTTTTTAAATTATTATTATATGAGGGAAAGTAGCACTTCAGTGTCTTTGTTTGAGGATAAGCTTAACAAGCACCACAAAATATACTTTTCAGCCAGAGTCCTAGTCAACAAGCAGGTTGGTATTAAGATTTTGTATTCCTCATTGATTAGTATCAGTCAGTTCTTGGCCAGGTGACTTCCCGCTGTAACACTTGGACTGCTATTTTGCAAATGGGTTCTCTAGACTCTTTCTACAAGAACTGACTAAGAAACTCTTTCTTAGAATTATATTGTAGTGGTGTAATAAAAGCTGCTAGTATTTAACTAATATCTTATTTTTAAAAAGACATTATTCTAGCCCTAGCTGATGGCTCAATTGGTCAGAGCATTGTTCCATATACCAAGAGGTTGTGGTTCAATTCCCAGTCAGGACACATACCTTGGTTTCAGGTTCATGGCTGGGGAGTGTACAGGAGACAACTGATTGACCTTTCTCTCTCTCCCTTCCTCTCTCTCTAAAATCAATAAATAAAATCAATGTTATTCTAGCTCCCAGATATAACTGACATTAAGCTTTTATGATTATCTTAAAAGAATGGTAAGGTGATACCCTTAAGAGAGTGCAGAAAAACAGCACCATCCAGAATCTGAAATGTGTTGACATTGTACTCCAAAAAGACTTCTATTTTCCTATTAATTCAAAACCAGAGCTTCAATGTAGTAATCCAGAGTATAAATGTGATCTTCTTCAGTGATATTGTTACTATTACTATCTACCAGTTAAAAACCGAATACCATATTCCAAGCTGCTGGGCCACAGAAAAAAATAAGCAGATAAAATGAATTTGGTGGAAAGCCCTAGAGTTAAGTTTGGGATCATTTTTAGCCAACATTCCACTGCCTCAAGATCAGTAACCTGAACCCTTTTTAATTTCAGCACATTGCAGAACAGCTGAATGTCATGCTATAGCATAATTTAGCCTGTCAAGTGCCTCCTGTTGTGTGTGTGTGTGTGTATCCATACATATATGTATATACATATATAGTGTATAAGTACATATATACATATATAGCATATACACCTATACATATGTACATATATGAACATGCATATATAGTATATACATATATATGTGATGTTAGGCAAAGGGAGATCACTAACTCTCAACATAGCATCCTAATGCATGTTCATCATGCAGTAGATATTTAATGATGAGAATATGACTTTAAGCAAGGTTATATCATTTGCCTCAGAATAAAAAGTGAGTTTGCGAAGATACAGCCTGAGGACCTATATTAAGATTCTCCAGAGAAACAAAACCAATAGGATATATAGAGATATTTAAGAGGAGATTTATTATAGGAATTGAATCATGCGATTATGGAGGCTGAGATGTGCCATTTGCAAACTGGAGAAACAGAAAAGCCAGTGGTATAATTCAGTCTGAGGCCAAAGACCTAAGAACTGATGGGGCTGCTGGTGGTAAATCCCAGACTCTGAAGGTCTGTAGACCAGGAACATCGATGTCTGAGGGCAAAGAAGATGGACGTTCCAATTTAAGAAGAGAGTATGTACCCTTCCTCCACCATTTTGTTCTATTCAGGCCCTCAGTGGATTGGATAATGCTTGTCCGTATCAGTGAGGATGGATCTCTTTACTTAGTCTACCAATTCAAATCCTAATTTCTTCCCAAAACACCCTCACAGACATACTCAGAAATAATATTTAATCAGCTATCTTGGCATCCCTTGGCCAAGTCAAGTTGACAGAAAAAATTAACCATTATAGTATCATAGGAATATACTAGTTTTGTCCATGAAAACTACAAATATGGAAACAGAAAAGTTTCTTTTCTATATCTATATCAGCTGGTCACTTCTCATTCTTCCCTGTTCTTCCCTGATCTTTCTTTCCTGTCTTCAAACCTACTCCATCCACTCCAGCACCCCCCTCATTTTTCTCCATCTTTTTTGGCTTTGTGTAGGTATTGGGAGTCCCTACAGAGGATACCTGGCCTGGAGTTTCCAAACTACCTAACTACAATCCAGGTAATACTTCATTTGAGCTTCTCAGTGCTCTGAGAATTAGCAGTGTGAGAGATTTAGCTACGTAGTATGTTCTTTTGTTGTTAACTCAACAGCAAAGATAAGCCTAGACAAATTTTTAGGTCTTATATCCCCTGACTAATCTTTTTATGAGGAAGACCCTGAAATAGTACTTGAGTTTAGATTAGTTCTCAAACTCTGTAAAGCACAAATAGCAAACTGAGTAAGAATTTGAAATGACTATTATTGTGGATTTCACATCTATTCTAAATACAGAACAGCTCAAGGAAACAATTCAAAAGGTGGTGTCACCTTTGAGCCCATGACGGTTATTGATTTATATGCTAATACAACAGAGGGGAAGTAGAGGCTCATTGGTTCATTAGGGTTAGGACAGGCCAGATAAGGTGTCTCTAGATTATACAAGAGTTCACCCTGTTGGTCATTTTCTGTCACATTTGGTCCTCTAAGATTGGCTCCTAGGATGGATTTGGAAATTTTGGAAGTGTTGTCCATGGGGGAAGTCTTTGAGAAATGGTCCCAAGGCCATTTCAGAAGGGACAGATTAGCCAGTCTTCACATCCAGGATGTTGAGACAGAAGGGAGGAAACAAGCAGGGATGAAGAGATGTGTCAGATGCTAGAGAAGCAAGAATGGCTTTAAGGAGAGCTAGATATGCACAGATAAGGACAATGTTCAGGTAAACATGGCCCAAGTCACATTTTCTAGTCTTTATGTTCTTACATTGTCCCATTACTAATAATGTTTTTCCCCCCAAATTGTCATCACTAACATTGGTGTGACATTATCGTGCAAGGTCTTCATGGGAGCAAGAAACCATATGGAGATTAAAAAGGTGATTAAAGAGAAAAACAACAGACATAGGAGACTAAGGACTTTTTTTTTCTTCTGTAACATCTAATATTTTTGCTCAAACAGCTATACATAAGAATCAGATATCTTGAACTAACCAAGATTATGGAAACCTGATAGCAAGCTAAAGACAAACTATAATGTCATTTTCAGCTTTATGTGAATGATCTTATGCATTGCTAAATGGCTTTAGGGTCATTTACAAATAGTTTACCATTTCTAACTATTTTGCTAGTTTATCACCCAAGAAAAATGCTGCTGTGTGGCCACAGGGCTTCCTTTCGGTGTGAGATGAGAGAAAAAAAGGACAGGCTTCCTGTGGAGACCTTGATCCAGGTGCAATCTGTCCTGTCTCCTGTTGCCACAGTTTCTAAGGGAGTCTGTTTTTCCTCTTCTCTCACCATACCCATACCTCTCCTTACCCTGCCTATATTCTCTTCTCCACATGAAAATGGGACCCCTCAGCTTTCTAATGTGGCTGCAACCAGAAGTTTAGGGCCACAGATGGGTTGTAGAAAAGAGTTTGGGTACTGTTGATACAAAGCAGCCACGGTGAACATACGTTGTTCTCCCAGACTTCGAATATTTGGGTCTCAGATTGGTTCAGACAATAAAGAGTTTCTTAGTACAGAATACCTTGATGAGAACAATAATGATAGAAACTTGGCCAAAATGCTCCCCTGCCAGATTCTGTACTAAATAAGGTAACTGGGTTCCAATAAAACAGTGAGAAATATGTTCCATTTTTCATTTTGCTGTCATCAAAGAAATGTGCTATTTTTTATTTATGAAGAGAAATCTCCAGGTACAACAACAATAGGGTTCACACTCTGCATTGTTTTCCTAGTAAGCATTCAATTTAATTCAAATGAATTTAAAAAAAATTTTAAGCACCTACTCTCTTTTCTCCAAGATAAGTCCAGCTCATGTTGGGCCTGGGGTCAGTGCTATTGATAACTCAATCTAAAGACTGTGCTGTAAAAGTCTCACCCACTGCGGCATTCCAGGAACACCTGCTGTGTGAGTCACGAAGTCTCTCTGAGCCGTCTTCCTCACTCACCCCATCCCTGAGCTGCTGCTGCTGCCCTTGATGAAGGGAACGGAAGAGGGGACGGGAGCCAGAAAAATGTCACAGAGCAGAACTGTGAACACCATTCTGGATGAGATTTCCATTCTTTTCCTTTTTGTTCTAAGTAGCAGTAAGGACCCCAAACTTTGAATTCAGCTGGTACAGCAATTTTGAAGGAGCCAAAGAGGTTAGAACTTGGGGGAATCATCCAGTGTCCATCTGTGCCCTCTCTGCCATTTCCAGGCCTTGTCTGGACTATGTCTAGGAAGACAACACAGTTTCTCTTTGTACAGGTTAAAACAAAACAAAACCTGACCCTGCTGGACAGATTTGTCTGGTGAGTGGGACTGTGGGTTTTTCAGCCATCAGTTCTGACTATTGTGCCTGATTAAACCTGGGCAATGTACGAGAGGTGGATAATTCTAGAGACTGGTTTCCTTCCTTCCTTCCTCCCTTCCTTCCTTCCTCCCATCCTTCCTTCCTTCTTCCCTCCCTCCCTCCCTCCCTCCTTTCTCTTCACCCCCCCACCCCCATTTTAAGCAAGCTGGCTGGAAAGTCTGTGTCCTCTACTTCAAAGGGCCAGTTGTCTTGTTTTGATGTGGGCAGATTAAGAAGTAGGCTTTGAAAAGTAGGTTTTTTTGCTTGCTTGCTTTCTTTCCTCTTTTTTTTTTAATCTTTTCTCCTGGGATAGCTTTCAGAGCAATATATCCAAGTGTCAGTGAGGGGGTTCTGACGAGCACGGATTCCCAGACTCTCAGCAGGATCATTCTCTAACAGAAATATAAAAGTGAAATATTAAAAACCCTGGAACGTGAACTCCATCTGCAGAGTAGCCAGGGTCTTGCCTGCTTGCACCATGGGAAAAAAAGATCTCCTTGAAAAAAGAGGGAGGAGGAAAAAAAAGTCCTTTGAGTAAGAGGTTTACAGGTTTACTAGAGCATAGTAACATCCCCTCAAAGAAGTGGGTGTTGCTCTGTGACCCCCCAAAATGCTCCTCCTTTGACTCAGCCGCCAGAACAGTCACCCTCCCCTGGCAACACACCCCCTTTTCACATGCTAACTGAGGTGCCTGTGATTGGCTGAACAATAAGCTGGTCACACTTGCTAAAGGACTGCCATCTTTCACACAATTAGCCAAGACACATTAATCAAACTGGCGGGGAGCTGGAGCTGAGCTGGTCTCCTGCAGTGGGGGAGGGGAGTTTTGGTGATCCTGAATAAGAGTCCACAGGAAGCAATAATAAAGGACAGCATGCTCGAGGGGACTCTATCCAGAAAGTCTGAAAAGGTGAAAGCTCCATATCTGTGAGGCCAGAGGACTCCAGAAGCCTAGAGCAAACTAGGTATCGGTCTTGGCTAAAATCTGCTAATACAAGACAGTCGTGTGAATTTAAAAGCTGGACCCCTAGAGACATTTTTACGAAGTACCCTCACCCTCTTAGGTTTTCCCCTGCCCCCAAGAAAAAACGCACTCAGGATTCCCTTCCCTTTTGAGCTTCAAGCACTTTGGGCCCAAATGGAACCAAAAGGAGTAAAGCATATAGAAAAAGTAGAGAACAATTTAAAATCAATTAAGATAAGGTATTAATTGGCAAGGTGTTGGTTCTAAACTAAGTATTTGAAGAGCCTTTAAAATAGTTAATTTTGAGAGAAAAAAGGAAGGTTAACCTTTGTGCATTCAATGGCAGTATCTTCTGGCTTTTCTTTTCCATATTTCCTCTAAATAGATTTTCCAATGGCAATCTAGAGCTAATAAGATCATACCTTAGAGACGGGTTTGCTACAGAATCATGGAAGGCTTTTAAAAGACTCAACTAAATATTTAGACATTTCTCAGCTCAAGTAAACAGAGGGCTTACTCCGCTGGAGGTTGTCCAGTCACCATCTCATTAGATGCAAAGATCCTGTGATAAAGAAAAACTTTTTTTCTGCCCACATGATTGCAGCCCAGTTGTGGTTTTTAATGTGTCATTGATTGTTTCATCCAACTTCTTTTGCTCCACTCAAAGGGTCTGTCGTGGCTCTGTTTGCTTCCTTAAACACGGTTTTTGAAAGCACTCATGCTGTGTGAGCTCAAATCCTAGCATTAATGTACTGCTGGGTTCATTTCACCACACTCAAAAGCGCTGAGTTTAAATCCCTCTCAATTCCATTTGAGGCACCAGAAGACTTTATCCTTCTCCACTAATGGTTCCAAGTTTACATCTAGATACTGGGGTCAAGGACAGGAGAGGATTTAGAAATAACAGTGCATGACATTAGTCCATGCATTTGCCAAATTGGCAATTAGTTCCTGATGTGCGTGCAAAGCATCTTATTCCTGTCTCTTTGATGCTTGTTCCCATTGAGAAGGGAATAGAGTCCACAGAGGCCTTCAAACTTTTAAAGAAATATCTGCTGAAAATCATGCCTGATTTGTGACAAGAGCTCAGCTGCGGGGAAGCATCCGGGATTACCCTGGTTCTTTCAGCCCCAGAAAAGAACGCTGCACATGGTTAGATTTTCCACTGGAGGAACTTAGTGGAAGTCAAAAGGCCGGAAAGCGGTATAAAAGCCCTGCCGAGACCCAGACTCACTCAGATGGACTATGAACCATAAGCAAATGGACCCTGCTCATGCCTCGTTATTTTCAGTATGCCTGCTTTTTCAACTGCTGACCACCAGGTGGAAGCAAGAAATAACAGGGATGGAAATACTGTAACAGGAATGCTGACATCAGACAGCATTTCACCAGAGCAATCTAGCCTTTCTCTAGAAATGTTTTATTTTAACCTGAAACCCAGTGTAAGAGTTTCACTTCATCTGATACCACTGTGGAACAGATGACAATTAAAATCCAAAATGATCCTTGCCCCTATAGGGATGATAAAGAGCTACCATGCTTCGGACTCAAAGGGTTCTGCGCATGTCTTTGTTGGGACTGGCATCAGTAACTGCTCAGTCACATGAGCTATTAGCCAAGGGAGTTAGCCAGTGGGATGAACTGAAGGGAAAGACACTGATAAGAGCAGTTTTAACTACGAGCATGAACTCTTACACGGATCAGCAAGTCCAAGCTTCA